TGACAGATCTAAACGAGGTTAATCATTTACAAATTAATTATGCGTTAACCCATTGTTAACGTTACAAACAAATAATTACCAATCTAAATTAAACACCGATATCTTCATTATTTGGCAAATATAAGGATTTTAGATAAATCGAAATAGTGGGCGTGGTCAATATTTTTCCTTTAAAACCTAACTCGGGGTATGACGAACGTTTGTACAAAAAATTATGCCCAGTCCACGTTGCCGGCCCGTAGTTTTTGTCTATTATGCATATTTGTCAAAGTATAATTATTCACAGATATGACTGATATAAGTGTTCACATGCTGGTCGATTAAAATTGTTTTAAAATACCTGTACCCACATTTAAGCCGTGGGCTTCAATATTTAAACCGTGGGCTTAAAATGTGAGGATGTAATTTACAAATCTATTAAAAAGTATAAATCAATCTTATCCCCATGTAAGGGATCAAATTAATTGTTAGTATGGTAAAAATCGTAGCAAAATTTTCCAGTCAAATGAGCAGTAATTTGGAAATTACTGTATTTTGTACACCTCATAATTGAGGGCTGAATGATTTAAGAATAGTCAAAGTTAATTACTTTTTTAAGCCCATTAGCACCTTAGATTGTGCATTAGAGTCCTCATAAGTCCCCCTAACCATGTCGGTCTGTTTGTCCGCCAAAAGGTGGACTTGAGGGGGTACTATTACATGGAGAAAATTCTAAAATTTGCAGATATGTTGAAATCTTTGTGTAATATTTTCACCCCCTCAAATACACATTTTTAGCCAAATCCTTTGAAATATGGTAAAATCAGGAGGTACCTTTATATGGACACCACTTTGAAACATCGACCTACATTGAAAACTTTCTTCTACCCCTAATAATCCAAGATGAAAAAAATCGCGTGATTTAAATAAGTAAAAATAATTTTATCCACCTCATAATTGTGGGCAGAATGATTTCAGAATAGTCAAATATAATTACTAATTTACACTCATTACCGTAAGATGGGAATTAATTTTATTTGCCGTTTAAATTGTAAGTTGGAGACCCCATAAATTCCAAATTTTTCATCATAGTAGAATTCAATGACGATTCAACAAATATTCGGTCCCTTGCCTTTTTCTTATATTTGTAATTTGTTCATGTTTTCATAATTTATTTCATATAGGTGTACATCCCAAAGGTATCTTGAATGTTTGGAAAGAAATTCCGGAAGGATAGAAATTCTTTTCTTACTAAAAGTTCCATTCGCTCTATTATTTTGCACCCTTTATATTTGGTATTTTACTGATTGTACTCCCAAAGAATTTTGCATTTTGAGCTCTCGTTGGACGGATTATTGTCACATGAAAGAAGTAGGTCCACGCTTTGAAATGAGCCCTATTAGGCTGTTTCGGTCATTTTGTTTGTTTAAATGTGTTCGCATCTTCCAGCTGAACCACGATGTAGGCCCTGGAGTTGAAAGGTAGATCTCAGTTATCATCGTATTTCGAAAAAGTAATTATCTTTTAACTTTGGTGCGACCGCGTTAAATTATTTCGATATCATCTATTCCGTTTCGCCACCACATAATTCGGTACTACACTTTCATTTAACCCGACATCAATTTCAAGACAATTAAATAAATTGGTATTAAAATTCGAATTCAAAAATAAAATATAAAAAACACTACAAATGTACATTAGGAAAAAGTAAGTCAAAATGGAAAAAAATTATGCAAAATAAAACATTACTATTGTACATTTTAAAAGTCGAAATGAAAATGTTAATACATCACATTTTTACGCGATTTTTTTGGATATTATCCTTTTCGGACAGGAGACAATTCCGAATTTGTGTGAATCGTTAAAATCAGTCCAGTGGTTCTTAAGTTATAAGCGTAGTAACTAACACAACTTTCTTTTATATATATAGATTTTATAAAAACAACAATAAAGGGATAAGCCTGACCATTTTGCAACAACAAAATACTACGGTATCCCGAACAAACAAGCCACACTGTTCGAAATCATAAATTTCATATTCTTCTCAGTTTTATGGTTGAGAGAAATATTAAGATGTAGCAAGATTGAAAATTGTGACCCTTTGTGGGTGAAGTACCAGAAGGTGTTCGCAAATATATATCACCTTCAAAACAGATCTTGTGCTAGAAAAAATTTTTGTATTTGTGAAATTTGAAGAGAGTCGGATGCTTATTTCGATTTTTTGCGCGTTTTGTTTTTCAAAATCTTGAATCCTATGTGTGAGAGATACCAGAAGAAATGGCCCGATCTCTAACATTTTTATAATAGATCTTGTGTTGGTTGAAATATTGAGATGTCTAAATGGAATTGGATGATAATTTCGCGCTTCATGAGCTTCATGGATATTCAAATTTTGACCCTTTGTGGTGAGATACCAAAAGGAGTGGAACGATATATTCCATCTTCACACCAGATCGTGGGTTAAAAAAAATATTGTAATGTGTGAAATATGATGACAACTGCATGCTTATTTCGGATTTTATAATCTGTTGGTTATGGTCCGATCGTACGATCTTTATAACATATCTTGTGTTGATTGAAATATTGAGATGGCCAAGCCTGAATGGAATTGGATGTTAATTTCGCGCTTTATGAGCTTCATGTATATTTAAAATTTTGACCCTTTGTGGGGTAGGTACGGGAAGGAGTGGACCGGTATATCCCATCTTCACAGCAGATCCTGTGTTAGTAGAAAAAATGTGATGTGTGAAATCTCCACCCCAAACCTTGGGCTAATAGAAATATTTTGATGTGTGTAATTTGAAGACAATCGGGCTGTTACATCACAATTTTTAAGAGTTATAATTATTCAAAATTTGGACTCTATGTAAATGGAGGTACTAGATGGAGTCGAACGATATTGTCCATTTTCACACCTGATCTACTACTGATGCTAACATTAGGATTTGCAAAGTTGGACCAAAATCGGATTGTCATTTCTCTTTCTGTAAAGTAAATTATTTTAAATGTTAACATGTTAAGATTTTGTGGGGTGGGTAGCAGAAGGATTGGACGATATTGCCTATATCCGAACTCGATCTAAGTTTGATAATAATATTACGAAATACAAAGTTTGGACCGAATCGGATGGTCTCTTCGAGAGTTATCGTACACACCAGCCAGCCAGACAGACGGACGAACATCGCTAGATCGACTCCAAATGTCCTGAAACGGATTTGGTCCAAAGAAACCGTTATTTCGATGAGGCACGATCTAGCCGTATCCTATAATGGGAGTATAAATCACTTTTTATACCCTCCACCATACATAGCATTGAGGTTATACTAGGTTCGTCATTCCGTTTGTAAGTCATCGAAATAATAATTTTAGACCCAACAAAGCATACATATTCCTGGTCAGCGTAAAATTCTAAGACGCACTGTCCGTCCGTTAGTCCGTACGTCCGTCTGTTGTAATCACGCAAGAGTCAAAACGAAACAAGATAGGAAGCTAAAATTTTCAAGCTCGAAGATGGGCTATGTCTGTCCACAATATCGTATAGTCCCCATATAACGGTACCCGCCGATATTCGGTATTTTGCTGATTTTAGCCACATTTTTTAATGAAATTGTCTGAAATTCTACACAAGGAGTTTTTTGTGAGTACTTTACCCCCTGAAAGAGAATTTTTTAGCCTAATTTATTTAAAGGAATTACCTTTAAATTCACACAACGGTTCCATCTGAGAACTTTACCCCTAGAAGAGGATTGTCTAAATAGTTCCACGTTTTAGTATTGCGCCCATATAACTGTACCATCAGATATTCGGTATTTTAATGATTTTTGATACATTAGTCACCGGAACTGTTTTAAATTTCGTATATAAAGATCGGAACAGTTACTACAGCCTATGACACAAATTACTTATTACACGTCTTTGTATATCCCCCATGTAATAGTTTCCGACGCATTTTTTTTTTTGAAATTTTTCAAGTTTCTTCCAAATGGTGGAGGGTGTGAAAAGTTCGGCCCGGCCAAACATAGCTGCTTTTTTACTTACTATTTTTTTGGTAATTTTGGAAAAATATGGACTTTTTTGCACAGTGTAATAGCTCCTCTGTTTATGGAAAATATTTAGCAGTACTTTAGTTTATAAAATATATTTGAAAGGTATTTCTGTGTAGAAGGCCACCAAAAAGTTTACTGCCTAAAGGAGTCTCTTATATGTATCACTCTCCCTTATTCATTAAAATAATGTACCTCCACTTTTAATAATCCCTAGACATCCCCACTCAGATTCCATTCAAAACCCTTTTTCTTCTTCTTTTTGATGTTGGCAGTTGTGTAATGTTTAATCAAATAAAAGATTTTTAATGCCAGTAATTAGCAAACATCTGGAAATAATGCGAATTTATTTGAATGTTGCCAAGTAACTAATGCCAATATGAATGGAGAAAAAAGAGAGCAACTCACAGTGGCTTTAGGAAACTAATAAGGGATTATTGGAGTAACCAAAAATAAATCTCAACTTGCATTTTATCTAAAATTGAATTGAATTCCTGGAAATCTCAATTTTCGTTTGGGAAAATATTCTGGTTTATTCAGATTTCAATTTAGCCACAATATGCATACATATTGAAATAGAATTCAAATTCTTGGAAAGATGCAAAATACTGTGAATAGCTATTTGCCAAGGATTCTCATAAAGCCATTGCAAGCACTTGTGAACATTTACAGCTTAAGAAAAGTAAGGAGAAGATAAGGAGGAGAAGAAGAAAAAAGCCAGGGACAAAAATAAATGCATTAGCATTAACTAAAGACGACTGACTATATCTATCTATCTACAGGATGCACAAAGTGTTGTTAGGTAAATCAACAACATTCTCTCATTTAAAAATAAAATCCTTGGGAGCAACATACAAACAACAACAGCTGCTGCAGTTCTCAGTAGCAATGAATTGACATTTCTTTTATTTTTGGAATGCTATTTTTTGCAATTTCTGTATTTAATATGTTGTTTTTGTTTTCTTATTTTTTTTTTAGATATTTTCCGTCGTTTCAGCGCTCGCTTCTGGCCCCATTCCTTGTTGGGACGTGGTGATGGCGACAGCGATGAGAATTCCGGCTCTGATACCTTTGGCATTTCGACCAATTTCGATCCCAAAAAGGGTAACACCACATCAACAGTAAAGGTTTGTAATATGTTCGGAGGTTTGTATCTGTGGTATGACATTAGCATTGGCATTGAGACTATATAAGCCACAGGTCCACTATAGCTAGAAAAAATTTTTAAATTCCATTACATATCGAAATCAGGCTAAAATTCATCTTCTAAAGATAGACTATATTTATTTTAAATCTTCTAAAGAGCAAATATATTCCGCAGGTCTTCTATTAACAGAAAGCCTCAACAATGGACAAGTAAAAAAGCAGTAAGTTCGTCCGGGCCGAACTTTGAATACCCTCCACCATTTGGAACGAATTTAGAAATTAAAAAAAAAAGTAAAAATTAAGCTGAGCCTAGCTTGGAATACCCTCCACCGTTTGGAACGAATTTGGAAATTAAACAAAAAAAAATACATTTTTTCTTAAAATCTTACAGATACCGAATATAGGCTAGTATATTAGGTTCTATTTGTCCTGGACCTGCATAGGCAATTTTTGTCACAGGCCATTACAATATTCAAATACGAAACATGAAAAAAATCCGGTGAATAATGTAGCTAAAACCATAAAAAAATATCCAATAAAGGAAGGTACCATTGTTTGGGACCGATGCCTAAACATGGTCCGATATATCCCATTTTGAAAACCAAAAATCCCGCGGACCAAAAACACGTCGGAGTAAAAATGTATCAGCCTACTTCACTTCTTTCCGAGGCTAGACAGATTTGCACTGACAGACATCGCTAAAACGAGCTGGAATTTTATGCAGATCAAAAATATATATACTTTGTATATGTATTTCGAAGTGGAGGGTGTAACCAGGCTTTCTTTATTCTCCTGAATCCATATTAATAAAAGAGTAAAGCAATTGACTGACTGACTTAATGATTCATCAAAGCTCAGACGAAACGGCCGAAGCTAAAATCTTGAAATTTTGGGTGAGGGTCACTCTTGGTCCGATGGGGTCAGATAAGGCTGGGTTTTTGGTTACTCGTACTAGAACAGTAAAAATGTACTAAATATGGTACCCTTTGTATTTGAGGAAGCAGTAGAGCTAGAACATTTAAATTTGGAATGAGGGTCACTGATCCAGTGTATGACAGATGAACCAAAGGGTTTTTGGAAATCCTCACTATATAAAAGGTACTAAAAAATACTCCATTTGGGTACCATTTGATATCATGTAAACGATTAAAACTAAAAACTTGAAAATTGGAATGGGAATCAAGGTTGAGGAGTAGGGTTGATGTAAGGATATAGTTTTGCAAGTGTGTACTGATATATGCGAAAAGTACTAAACGGTACTAAAATTAATACAATTTGAATTTGGAGGAACGGATGGAGGTGGAATACTGAAATTTGAAATTAAGATTACTGGCGGAGTGTTGGATTGGTTTATGAAGGAAGTTTTCGAATTTTTTTACCTATATACACGAAAAGTACTAAATGGTACTAAATATGGTACAATTTTGATTTAGGTGAACCGTTAGAGCTGGAATACTGAAATTTAGAAATAAGATTACTATTACATTCTATGAATGAGGAATGTAGGTAGTTTTGGAAATTCGTACTTATGTGTACTAAATGATACTTAATTTGGTACAGTTTAAATTAGGGCGGAACTAATAAAGTTAGAATCATGAAATTTGGAAAATAGATAGGACTGAGGTTGTTTTGGAGAATCGTACTTATGTGTACTAAATGGTAAAAAATGTATTTGAAATTGGAATTGTGATGATCCGATGGAGCTGGAATTCTGAAATTTGTAATGAGAGTCACTCATTTATAGCAGGAAAGATGCACCAATGGGCTATTGGAAATTCGAACTTTAAATTTAGGAAAAGTTCTAATATAGTACCATTTGGTATTATGTTAACGGATGTCGCTAAAAACATGAAATTCTGTATGAGAATTAAGGTTGGGAATGTGGGTTTGGAAATGCACACTAAGTGTGCGAACTGCACTAAATGGTACTAAATTTAGAAAAGTTTGGTTTATGGATGAAGTTGAAATTTAAAAATTGGGAGTGGTTTTTGAAAATGTGTACAATGAGTGCACAAAAAGTACTAAATTGTACTAAATTTGGTAGCCTTGACATCTGGAGACGTTTACGAAAAGTGCTAAACAGTACTAAATTTGGTATAAGGGATATAACTGAAATCCTAAAATTTAATATTGATGTCTCTGTTGGTATTTGGAATTGAGATATGGAGGTGGTACGGAAATGCGTCCTATATTTGTACGAGAAGTACTAAATGTGATATTGGGTGGGATCCTCAAATTTGATATAGAGGTCTCTACTGATATCTGTGAGTAATATATGTATGTTGTTTTGGAAATGTGTACTATAATTGTACGATAAGTACTAACTAGTACTAAACTTGGTGAAGGAATAGAACTGAAATCCCAAAATTTGATATTGAGGTATCGGTTGGTATCTGGAATTGATATCAGGTGTTTTTTTTTTTTTTTTTTTTTTTTTTTTTTGAAAATGTGTTCTTTATTTGTACGAAAAGTACTTAATGGTACTAAGTTTGGTATTGGATACATGGTTAGGGCTGAAATCATCAAATTTCATGTTGAGGTCCCTATGGGTATCTGTGAGGTACCACATATGCAGGTGGGTTGGAAATGTGTACTATGAATGTTCGAAAAGTACTAAGTAGTACTAAATTGGGCTTTGCGTGAAGGAATATGGCTGAAATCCTAAAATTTGTTATAAATGCCACTGTTGGTGTCTGTGGTTAAGATATGGAGGTGATTTTTAGAAATTTCCATTATTATTGTTCGAAGAGTACTAAGTTGCACTATATTTCGTATTTGGTGAAGGCATATAGCTGGAATCGTATACAATATTTGTATGAAAAGTACTAGATAGTACTAAATTCGGTATTGGTTGAAGGGATATGGATAAAATGCTGCAATTTGGTATTAAGATTACTGTAGGTGTCAGAGGTTGAGATATGGAGTCTGACATGTGAAATAGATGTCACTGTTGATGTCCGTAGATGAGAGAAAAGTGCAAAATTTCAGAAAATATGCCCTTAGATGTTGGGTTGGATATAGATTTGTGAAAATTTGTACCGAGTTCACTGTTGGTGTCTAGGGTGTAGAGAAGGAGATGGTTTTGAGAATGCGTAGATCAAAACAATTGTTCGAAAAGTACTAAATTTGCTTTGAGTGAATGGATAGAGCTTGAATCCTGTAATTTGATATTAAAGGCTCTGTTGCTATTTGGTGATGAGATCTGGTGGTGGTTTTGCAAATACGTATAGTTGTTCGAAAAGAAAGGGTTTTTGCAAATGAGTACAAAATTTTACGAAAAATACCAAATGTTACCAAATTTTGTTTTGGGTGAAGAATTGGAGGTCACTGAGGTCACTTTTTGTTTTTATGGTTTCTAGGAAATTGAAATAGTTTTTGACAGAAAAATTGGATATAGGTCCATAGTGCATTGCTTTTTTTTTTTCTAATATCCTCCTCTGTAAACTTCAAAATTAAAGATTTTGAAGACGTTTTGAAATAAAAGGTTAAGGTTTTCCTATTATTCTTTCCGAAAAAGGAAAAACTTGAATAATACATAAAAGCTTGAGAGTCTGAAAATTTAGATCGATATATGAATTTTTGATTGAAATATTTCGTCAAACTAAAGAAAGTCCTACAAAATACAACCAGTAAAGAAAGTCCTAAAGTCGGGCGGGGCCGATTTTATGATACCCTACACCACTTTGCTAATTTAGTTGAGCTCCACTTAATAATTAAAAGTTTTTATGGGAGAATTCAATCATACACGCTATGATTATAATTTAAAATTCAAAGGACTAAATATGCCAAAGCATTTGTATCTTTTAAATTCGGACTTGTATTGCCCAATTGGTGCGAAATTAATTTGAAATCGGATAAAAATATATATGGGAACCATATCCAAATCTGAACGGATCTCGATAAAATTTAACAAATATATTTCTGAGCTGTATTTTGTATATATTTGCCTGAATATCGTTGTTACGGAATGCATATTACGGCTGTGGGTAACAAATACAATAAATCGGATGAACAATATATATGGGAGCTATAACTATATCTGAACCGATCTTCACCAAATTTGGCATACTACCTTCTAGACTAAATTCGGTCGTATGTGTCAAATTCCAAATATTAGACGTTTGGTGCACAATAAATAGTAAATCGGACGAAGTTATATATGGGAGTTATATCCAAATCTGAACCGATCTCGATTAAAATTTAGCAAAGGTATTTCTGAGCTGCATTTGATATATTTCCCCAAATATTGTTGTTACAGAGTGCATATTACGGCTGCAAAGGACAAAAATAACAAATCGGATGAACAATATATATGAGAGGTATAGCTATATCTGAACCGATTTCGATAAAATTTGGCATACTTATTTTCAGGCCTAATTTGGTTGTATGTGCAAACTTTTATACTATTCGGGCTGATATTACACGTTTGGTGCACAATAAAAGGCAAATCGGACGAAGATATATATAGGAGCTACAGCTATATCTGAACCGATCTTCACCAAATTTTATATACTACCTTCTAGACTCAATTCGGTCGTATGTGCCCATTTGGGCAAATATTAGTCGTTTGGTGCACAATAAAAGGTAAATCGGACGAAGTTATATATGGGAGCTATATCCAAATCTGAACCGATATCGATAAAATTTAGCAAAGGTATTTCTGAGCTGCATTTGATATTTTTCCCCAAATATTGTTGTTACAGAGTGCATATTACGGCTGCGGAGGACAAAAATAACAAATCGGATGAACAATATATATGGGAGCTATAGCTATATCTGAACCGATTTCGATCAAATTTGGCATACTTATTTTCAGGCCTAATTTGGTTGTATGTGCAAAATTCCATACTTTTCGGATTGATATTAAACGTTTGGTGCACAATAAAAAGCAAATCGAACGAAGATATAAATGGGAGCTATATCTAAATTTTGACCGATTATCTCCAATAGGGTTCGTCCTTGGGCCAAACAAATGTTGTTTGCAAAATTTCATCTCAATCGGATAATAAATGCGACCTGCATTTTGTTCACAAGAATACATGGACAGACGGACGGACGGACGGACAGACGGACTGACATGCATAAATCAACTCAGAAGGTGATTTTATGCAGATCATCAAAAGGAACTATGGGTCTATCCCGTTTCCTTTTGCCTGTTACAACTAAAAATGCACAAAGACATAATACCCTGACTACCTTGTGGTGTAGGGTATAAAAAGCAGCTAAGTTTTGCCTGGCCGAATCCAATACTCTTCCAGATTTCAAACTGCTAAGAAGGAAATCCTTGTGTGGATTTTCAGACAAATTCATTGAAAATTTTGACAATAGACAAATAGACAATTCTCTTCCAGGGGGTAGAGTACCCACAAAGGAATGTAAGATTTCAGACAATGCCATTGAAATATGTGGCTAAAATCATCAAAATTTAGAATATCAAGGGGCACCGTTATATGGTGGCCATACGATATAGTGGATCGTATGGCCCATCTTCGAACTTGACCTACCTGCACACAAAAGACTGATCTCTGCAAAATTTTAGATTCCTATCGTAATTCGTTTTTCTCTAGCGAGATTACTTGCTGGTACTTGCTAGTCTAATATAAATTTTAGACTGAACTATAATTTTTTTTATAGAAAATCGTGGTTCCCATTACACCCCTGAAAATATTAAATATAAAATCCGAGTTTTCAGCCCTAATGCGAAATTGTTATACCACAATTATTATTATTACTATTATGATTTTTATTGAAAATATAATTAATTAATAATGTTCCCCATAGGTTATCGATGGCCACAAGGTTGAGGTGAATGAGACCGTCTACGGCGATGAGCATAGTGTCTTCAAGGTGCGTGTTGTCAATGTACGTCCCTTGGAAGATGGCGAAACTGTTGAGGAGACCGTGCGCACGGGAGCTGATGGTGAGGAGGCAACCAAAAACGAAAATCCCGTTACCTCTAGCCCCGAGTCGAACAAACCCACCAGAGAGAGTACCGAAGATGACGAAGAGGATGATGATGATCGCCGTGAGCCCTTGGCCAAGAAAACCAATGACAATGAAATTGAACGCAACATTGATGATCCTGAGGTAAAATATTAAAAAAAGTAATTTTCTAAAAAAAAACAAAAACTATGAAGCAATGTTTGTACATTAGTAGAGATATGTGTGAGTGTTTTTTTTTTTTTGGTTTTCTATTAATTATTTGATACATTTTTTTTGGAATGAACATGGAATGTGAGTTTTTGGAATGTTTTTATTGTTACGGTAAATTGAACAATATGTGGTAATGGTTTAAAACTATTTTTTTTTTGTTTGAAAAATATATTCTGTAGCTTAATTAAAAAAATTGGTAGAAAACAAAAATTACAAATAATTATTTTATTCAGCAAAAATTTGGAATGAAAAGAAAACAAATATTTATTTACAAAAAAAAAAAAAAAAAAAAAAGAAAAAAACTTCTGCAAATATCAAATGCGATTTTCTATGAATAATTATTATTTATTTAATAAAAAAAATTCCATTCAACTCTAAACTAACAACAACTACTATTACTAATTAACACAATTTTATGATGATTATAAATATATTATTAATGTATATTGAAACGTATATATATTTTTTTTCAGTTTTGAAAATAATACCCAAACAAAATTCTATAGAATTTCAGATAGATTTTTTTGTTTTGTGTATAAAATTGTAAATTTTTATTTTTGCTGTAATGCTTTAATTAATTGGCTTTATTAATTTTTAAAATTTTTTCCAACTTTCTGTGAATACTTATGTAATATATACTAATATACTACAATGGCAAGGTTACAAACACATTTTTTTGGGAATTAAATTTTTAATTGAGAACTGAACCTAATTTCAATTTATTATCACAAATGGCAGCAACAGCCTCCCAAAATATTTGCAACCTTGCTAATTTAATAAAAATAGTTTTTTTTTAATATTTTTCTCTTTTCTCTCTCTCTTGACTAACCAATATTTATATAATGTATTCTACTCATTTATATTTGTCTTTATCTCAATATCTACCATAAATTGTAAATTGTTTTATATCTTCCAATAAAATAATAAAACAAATGCTGCAAAAAATAAACTTTTTTTCGGAAATGTTTTCTTTCAATATTTTTGGTTTTGTTTTTTTTTTCTTTTGTAAATATATTCTAAATAATAAAAATAAATGAAAATTGTATATATGTATATTCTCTATGAGTTTTTTTTTCTATGTCTTTCTTTGTCTTTCAATACTACTGCTTTTGCTGCTGCTGCTGATGTTCTATTATTAACTTAGATTTAAGGATTTATATTTTAAGATACATTACTGATGTGAATGCTTAGCAAATTGTTCTTCCAAATGTAGAACAGATATAGAATTGTGAAAAGTCGAATTTCGAATATTAAATATAATAATTTGTAGGATATAATTAAATTTCCTTGGTCAGTACAAAATAGCTTATAATATATTTTCGAATTTTTATTCGGGATAACTATTTATACCTTAGAGAGATGGTATTGATACATAATACGTGCCTCATCGAAATAACGCTTTTAACCTCTAGGCCTCTTTGCACCAAATCGGTTTCAGGTTATTTGGAGTCGATCTAGCAATGTCCGCCCGTCCGTCTGTCTGGCTGGTGCGCACTATAGCTCTCGAAGGGAGAATCTGATTTGATCCAAACTTAATACATAGTAATATTACCACCAAACTTAGATCGACTTCGGAGATAGGCAATATCGGCCCACTTCTTGTGGTACTTCCCCCAAAGAAGGACGACATTTTCAAAAAAAAAAAAAAAAAAAAAAAAACACTAAAGAAAGTCCTAAATTTGGGCGGGGCCGACTTTGTGATACCCTACATCACTTTGCTAATTTAGTAGAGCTCCGCAAGACAATTAAAAGTTTTTATGGGAGAATTCAATCATACACGCTATGATTATAATTTAAAGTTCAATGGACTAAATATGCCAAAGCATTTGTATCTTTTAAATTTGGACATGTATTGTCCATTTGGTGCAAAATTAATTTGAAATCAGATAAAGATATATATGGACGCTATATCCAAATCTGAACCGATCTCGGTAAATTTGGCAAAGACATTTCTGAGCTGTATTTAATATATTTCCCTGAATATCGTTGTTACGGAGTGCATATTACGGCTGTGGGTAACAAAGATAACAAATCGGATGAACAGTATATATGGGAGCTATAGCTATATCTGAACCGATCTTCACCAAATTTGACATACTAGCTTCTAGACTTAATTCGGTTGTAAGTGACAAATTTCATCCCATTTGGGCAAATATTAGACGTTCGGACGAAGTTATATATGGGAGCTATATCCAAATCGGAACCGATCTCGATAAAATTTAGAAAAGGTATTTCTGAGCTGCATTTGATATATTTCCCCAAATATTGTTGTTACAGGGTGCATATTATGGCTGCGGAAGACAAAAATAACAAATCGGATGAACAATATACCTACTTCTGAACCGATTTCGATCAAATTTGGCATACTAATTTGTAGGTTGGGTGTATGTGCAAAATTCCATATAATTCGGGCTGGTGCACAATAAAAATCAAATCGGACGAAGATATATATGGGAGCTATATCTAAATTTTGGCCGATTATCTCCAATTTCAATAGGGCTAAACAAGTGATCTGTGCAAAATTTCTTCTGGATCGGGCAATAAATGCGACCTGTACTTTGTTTACAAAAATACATGGACAGACAGACGGACGGACGGACGGGCGGACATGCATAAATCGACTCAGGGTGTGATTCTATGCAGATCATCAAAAGGAACTATGGGTCTATCTCGTTTCCTTTTGCTAGAAGGAATTGTCCTATCTCTACCATCTTGAAAACAGATCTTGTGTTGCTAGAAATATTGAGATATGCCAAGTCTGAATAGAATCGGATTTTAATTTCGTGTTTAATATTCTTCATAAATATTCAAAATTTGGAGCTTTTGGGGAGGTACCATTAGGAGTGGACCGATATACTCCATCTTATCACCAGACCTTGGGATAATAAAATTATTGGGATGTGCGAAACTTGAAGACAATCGGACTCGAATAAAACAATTTATAAGAGTTGTTATTATTCAAAATGTTGACCTTTTGTGGGGGAGGTATTTGATAGAGTAGACCGATATTGTTCATTTTCGCACCTGACCTAGCACTGAAGCGAATATAAGGATTTTCAAAATATGAGCAAAATAGGATTATTGTTTCATTTTCTATGCGGTAAATTATTTGATTTGAAACTGTTGACATTTGTGGGGGAGGTACCAGAAGGAGTGGACCGATACGGCCCATCTCCGAACTCGATCTAAGTTTGAAAATAATGTTACGATGTACCAAGTTTTGACCAAGTCGGATACTTCCTTCGAGAGTTATCGTGCGCATCAAGCAGACGGACGGACATCGTAAGATCGACTCCAAATGTTCTGAAACGGATTTCGTCCAAAGGGACCCAGGATCTAAAACCGTTATTTCGGTGAGGCACATTTTGGCCGTATCAGCCATATGGCTGAGGGTATAATACAATTACAATATTCAAATACGAAGCTTGAAAAAAATAATCCAATGAAAAATGTAGCTAAAATCATCAAAATACCGAATGCAGGGAGGTACTGTTATATGTGGGCGATAGTCAAAACGAATTAAGATAGGAAGCTATAATTTTGCACAGATCTGTCTTTTACCTGCAGGCAGGTCAAGTTCGAAGATGGGCTATAGCCACATTTTACAATGACATTATCTGAAATTCTACACAAGGAAATATTTATGAGCACTTTACCCCATGAATGAGAATTGTGTATATAGGTCCACCATATAACGGTACCCCCCGATATTTGGTATATTGATGATTTTAGCCACATTTTTAAACGGAATTGTCTGGAAATTCTCACAAATAGTTCTTCTCCATACATGTCCACGATATAACGATTCCTCCCGATATTCGGTATTTTGAATTGTTTTCAATATCGTATATAAAGTTTGGAACAGTTACTACAGCCTGTGACACAAATTACTTAAGCAGGATCACGTCTTCGTATTGCCCCCATATAACAGTTTTCATTTAAGCGGTATTTTCCTACAGAATTTTTTAACATTTTTCAAATTTCTTCCAAATTAGTTTCCTCACATTGTTTCCATAACCTTCGTTTACCTCTTACCTCTTGTTTTAGGTAATATTTTTACTAATTCTTAATGCAATGAATTTTTATTTACCCTTATCCACTTTCTCTTGAACATTTTTGAAGGACACTTATAATATATTTGTATGTTTAACTCAAGCATATGAGTGTGCAAAAATAGAAAAGAGTAAATGAAAAAAAAAAAAAAAACCGTTGGGAAAACTAAATTTTCACTACACCCGCTGACTTACAATTTCGTGCTTATTTCATACACGGCTTGAGAGCACTTTTACGTCATTTGTACGCTACGAAGCGTTTGTTGGGTATAATAAATTATAATACAACTCTATTCAATATCCGGGTGTAAAGTGTTCTATATATGGAGGCATGCTTTATGTTTTCTATGGACAAAGGTTGATTTTTAAGAGCAATAGAAACATGTTTCAAAACTTATATTTCGTGGGGTATGGCAGGGAATACCTAGGTTTCGGAAAGAACTATCAATCCTCATCAGTTCCCTTGTTATACCCTACACCACATAGTGGTAAGGGTATTATGTCTTTGTGCATTTGTTTGTAACATGGAAAAAGAAGCGAGATAGACCCATAGTTACTTTTGCGGATCTCCATAGAATCACTTTCTGAGTTGATTTATGCATGTCAGTCCGTCTGTCCGTCCGTCCGTCTGTCCATCTATTCTTGTGAACAAAATGCAAGTCGCATTTATTATCCGATTGCGATGAAATTTTCCAAACAACATTTGTTTGGCCCAAGGACGAATCCTATTGAAATTGGAGAGAATCTGTAAAAAAAATAGATATAGCTCCCATATATATCTTCGTCCGATTTGCCATTTTTTGTGCACCAAACGTGTAATATCAGCCCAAATAGTTTGGAATTTTGAACATACAACCAAATTAGGCCTGAAAATAAGTATGC